TACATAGTGTAGAAGACATAATAGATTTCACTCACATTTGGATTTCATTCCACTATAAGACAAAAAAAAAAAAAGGGGGTCAATACAAAAACAAATATCCTTGGCTATTGTTAACAACAGAATATATTCTTCATGCCAAATAATACTCCATGTTTATTAATGAATACCCAGCTCTCTTCATCTTGTGTTTCAAAAAAAAATAGTAATGGGTTTTCTTTGTACAACACTATGTGCTCTTAAAATAATAATTTTTTTTGTTCTTGTGTTGATTATTCATCCCTAGCAGAAGACAAAGGCGGATCTATTGTTAGAGCAAAAGAAATTCAAGAGCCTTTCTAGCTGTTATTAAAAAAAAAATGGTGGTGATGATCATTGGTTGGCAACTTGTCATTCTAGTTGTTAGGTAAAAATTACATATATTATAGAGAATTGTAATAGTATTTCTGTGATTGAGTGGAAATATATTAAATTTTATTTTATAATTCATAAATTTCACATTCTTCCAAAATTTGACGCCTATTTTTAACATTCAAATCCTCTTATATGAAGAAAATTCATCAAAAAAGTAATGACAATATGGTTCATCATTCAGCCAATTATTATATAAATTTAAATCCTCAAAGTTTAGGATTATTCCATCACCAGTGCGTCTGCTTCCATGATGAAATATTGCATGACTAGGTTCTTTGACTCTAATTAATATTGAATTGTTGAGTTGATTTTATCAATTTTAAAAATAAAATTTTTGTCTGTTTCAATATAATATTCTTCATCTGCAGATTTTCTTATACATTTAACAAACTGGGTTATATCAGGGTTGACAAATGTGCCATCCATTGATGGTCTATTGGTGGTCCATTGGGTCCATTAGTGTAACACTTTAACCATATTTAGTATTTTATTAATGGCAATGGGCCAGTCCAAAATCCATCTGTTCTCAATGGACCAGTCAATTTGCCAACCCTGGTGTAAATATATATGGTGTTTTAGTAGCTGGTAAGAAATGTTTTTTATGTTTTATATATTAGTTAGTATTTAATGGTGAAATATAATAATTTCTAAATCTTTCTTCAAGGTTTTGTAATGAAAATCTTTGTGCTTGACCAACCTGGTACAGTATATATAGAGTTAGGCTGGTTACCAGTATTGACATTCCAGTTAAAAATAGTTTGGGCGAAAAGATATTTTATGAAAATTTGAATAAATTAATGGTAAGATATCTGATTATTTTATAAGAATAAATTATAAAAATGAATGACTTAGAAAAGTGTATTCAATTAATTAAATAGTACTCAATAAGCAAAACATATGATTTGATTCAAAACTTGACAAAAGGAAACAAAAATATTTATTATCATCAATCTCACGTACACAAAGATCTCTTCCACATAATTAATGTTCGGTGCATGACTGGTTAAAAAAATTTTTATTTTAAACCAATTTCGTCAAGTCAATACAGTTTCTTTCTCAATATTAATAATTCATATTCTATCTATTTCTATATTGTTACTTTCAATTTCAATTGCAATTTTAAACAACCTTTAAAGCCTCTAGCTTGACTTCTATCATACTATTTAATAAATTATTAAAATAAAATTTAATTCTTAAATTCTTTATTTTAATTTTTAAAATACATTTAGTATCGTATTAGTAGTCATACATTATTATGAATATGACCCCGGAAACTACATAGATAGGTTACCCTAAAGTTTTCAAAATTTACTAATGGGTTTACCCAACACTCTTCATATTAGGCTTACCCAAGTTGGTAGTAACAAAACCCCAGATTATTATAATTGAGGTAACATCCGATTTTGATAAAGTTTTTTGCTGAAGTTACATGAAGATTTGGGTAAAGGCTTTTAGTAATTATTGACAAAAATTTATATTTTTATCTTGGAAATAATAATATTTATTTATTATTAGATTCAGATATGGGTTTGTTAAGAATTACTGAAGAACATCAATGACTATATTAATATGATTGATTTTTGAAATGTAAGGAGCAATTTTTTCACCTTGCTCCTTTTTCAAAATACTTCTAATGGTGCTGTAATTTTTGGGTTCCATAGTAGACCTGATATAAATGAGTTTCATATTAACTATTTTTATATAGAGATAATATAAGAAGTGGGAGAAAATATCACTATCACATTGTAGTAGTAATACAATTGTACTGTT